TGTGGCATTGTTTAAGATATAAACAAAAAATGTTATTTTATTAAATGTGATATGAATGTCTTTCCCCATTGACTTCAGATCACTGTATTTATATCTATGATAGGTAAATTTTCTTCATTTGATCATAGTCACATTTTATAATATTTTCTGTCAGAATGATTTTATAGGCTCCTAAAAAGTGTTCTTATTCCCACATCATGATGATATTGTAGTTAGCTCAAACAAATTTTATTGTTTTACCTTTCACGCTCCAATTACAATTTATCCAAAATTTATTATTTTTGAGTGTTATGAGATACAGGTCAAAGTGTATTTTTCCCCCGTGGCTATCTATTCAGTTCACCAAATAAAAAGTTTGTCTTTTCTATTACTGTTCTGAAGAAGTAAATTTCTCTCAAAATAGATGTCCCGTGTTTCAGGATTATTTCTTCCACTTCACTGGGCTGTTTTCTGCTGCTCTAATGCCTTTCTCTCTAAAGTCTTAGTCTCCTCACGTTGCTGTAAGAAATCCATAGATGGGTGACTTCTAAGCAACAGACATGTGTGCCCTCAGGTGTAGTGTGTGGGATGTTCTACACACAGGGACTAACAAACATTTCCTGGAACCTAGGAGAGATGGAGTATCTTCACTGCTTCATCACATAGTAGAAAGAGTTAGTTCTCTGGTCTCTCTAATAATAGTTCTAGCCACTTCCCCTAAAGTAACTTAATCATCTCCTCAAAGACTGTACTTCCTGTAGCATCACTTTGGTGATTAAAATTTCAACATGTGGATTATGGAGTGCAATCATTTAGGCTATGGCACTTGATGACCACACCTTTAGGAGTCTTGATATCTGAATAAGACCTCCAGCTTCATTCCTCATCACAATAAAGTAGGACTATTTTGTCTGTTTTATTTCCACATAAATGTATCAATTGCTGAGAAATAAAAGTATTGGTAATATCTTAGGGCTTCAATTAGTACATAAACCAATTTGTGAGGAATTGACGTTCTTAAGCTATGGTGATCTATAAACACAGTGCTGTGCTGGAGTGAAGCTGTTCTGCCTTATGAGAGTTAATTGCATCTATTTCTTCCCCACTCCAATTCCCATTTGGAATCATAGGCAAAGTTCTGTAGAGATGTGTGTGGTATAGAATATGTTATTGCATTCCAAGTCAGTAGAACAGGACTCCTTAAACTTCCATCATGACACCTTTTACCCCCAACAAGTTTTTTTGCTACCCCAGGCATACAGGTATATAAAACAGACAAAGAAACAAATATTTCCTGATAATAAGTTATAAAGCAATTTCTTTAAAAGTATCTGATATTCAAGGCTGAAGAAATGGCTCAGGGTTAAGAGCATGGCTGTTCCTGCAGAGGACTCTGGTTCGATTCTCAGCACCCACTTGGCTAACAACCATCTGTAACTCTAGCTCCAGGGGAATCTGATGCCCTCTTCTAACCTCCATGGGCATTGTACAACATGGATGCCCTTGCATACATGGTGGCAAGAAAATAATGCACATAAAATAAAAAATAAATAAAAAATATTTTAAAATATATCTGATATTCATAAGTTATACAACTTATTAAAAAGAAAGCAAATTTTCGTACTAATGAGATGACTTTGCTTGGCCTTGAACTCACGGAGATCCGCCTGCCTCTGCCTCCCGAGCGCTGGGATTAAAGGTGTGCACCACCACACCTGGCCATTATTTTGATTTTTACACATCAATGCTGTGAACACCGCTTTGAGTAAATAGGTAGTACAAAATGGCAAGAATATGTTTAGGACCATTTCAGAAATTGTTGGAAATTCTCTCCTAACCCCAAGCCAAAATCCATTTAATGATTTCCTATGAAACTCAACTCAGTAATTCAAACAGATGTTTTTAAAATGAGATGCTCTAAAATAATCCAATCCAAAGATTAAACTGATTCAGTATTTACATGCCAAACAATAAGGTGGAAAATATTAAAAGTTTTTGTTTTCCATAATTAAATCACTATCTCCAAAACAGCAGAAAATGTTACAATATTTATTTTAGTCTGATTTCAACCAAAGATTTTCAGGCAGCACTTATTGGAGTGTACAGCATTACAGATGTGCTGGCAAAGAACACATGTTGTGTGTTCAGAACCATGGCCTCAGTGAAATTAAATCATACAACATGGACCAGAAATGCATTGGATTCACTAAAAATTTGATTTTGAATTGGTACTACACTTTCACAAACCTGTTATTGTTGCCAAGATTTTTGGGACCCTCCACATTCAGTTATATGATTTTCTATTGTGTTATGATCTACAGTTTAAGATGATGAGCATTTGAAAGCCATTAACAGGTTTAAAGAAATGGGATATTATAACAATCCCATTTTCTATTTTTAAAAGTTTACTCTAAGTGATGTGTGAAGAATAGATGGAGTGACTCAATAATAGTTGAAAAATCATTCAGGAGTCATATTATATTAGGCAAGAAATCTCGGGAGTTTGACTTAAGGTTAAAACTAAAATTAAAGCAGAATGAACAGTCTGTATCTCAAGAGCTGAACCTTAGTTTTTTAGAAGATTTAAGATTCTTTAGAATTATTTTTTATAGAACAATGTCACTAAGTTAAAATGGTCCTAGTAGTTGCTTTAAAAACAATCACATATTAAATAAGACACAGAGTCTATGTATTAACAAAGCCATATGTAGAAATGCGGAAGTTCATTTCTCTTGGTTGTTTACATGCTTCTTTGTACACCTTGAAGTGTACTCTAAGAACCATTGTTTGTGCTGGGACTGGTATGTTAGGACATTAAGAATCCAAGGAATAAACCTGGAAGTTCATTTTCATTGAGATATAATTTAGACAACTTAATATAATTATACTACCTCTTAGAAACTGTCTCAACTCAGAGCTGGAGAGATGGCTCAGTGGTTAAGAGCACTGACTGCTTTTGCAGAGGACCCAGGTTCATTTCCCAGCACCTACGTGGCTGCTAACAACCATCTATAACTCCAGTTCCAGGGGATCCAATGGCTTCTTCTGGTCTCTGCAGGTATCGAACCACATGGGTGCATTTAACACACATGCAAGAAACACATGCATACACATAAACGTTTTTTAAAAAACCTGTCTTAACCCCATACCTTTGTGTTACTCAGCTTTCCTTCTCTGTGACAAAGTATCTGAGACAAACAACTTGAAAGGACAATAAATATTGTGGCTCATGGTTTCAAAGTCTCCATCCATGGCTGTCAGGCAGAGCACCACGGTGACTGGCACTTGTTAGACCACAGCTGCCTAACTCACTAGTCAGAAAGCAGAAGAGGCCAGGGAGAGTCAGCAACCCACCTCCTCCATCTCACTACAGTCAGGAAGCACGAAAGGCCAGGGACAGTGGTACATTCCCAGTGACCCACCTCCTCCATCTCATTACAGTCAGGAAGCAGGAAAGGCCAGGAACTGTGGTACACTCCCAGTGACCCACCTCCTCCATCTCACTACAGTCAGGAAGCAGAAAAGGCCAGGGAAAGTGGTACACTCCTAGTGACCCACCTCCTCCAACTAATACCTGCTTCCTAAGGTTCCATCACCTCCCAGTGCTTATTAAGCTATGAAGCCATAATTGACTTATTCCATTGATGAGCAAGAATCCCCATGATCCAGTCACTTTCCAGAAGCGCCACTTCTGAACACAGATGCATTGTGGACCACAGTTCTCTAATCCAAACAATATGCTCTGGTATGAAGGACACCAGTTGCTTATATACTTTGCAGCATCTCATGACATAAACACGAATTGTAGCTACAATTTACTATTATCTAAGTCATGCCAGATATTCACATATTGATTTCTAATTCTTTAGACCCTAAAGTTAACTCCCCTATTATATAAAATGTAGATCCTATATTCAGACAAGTTAAATAGTCTGCCTAAAGTTGCACACATAGTAAATGACAAGTCCAGAGGCCAAACCCCATCAAGTCTTTTTCCAACAAGTATGAGTATGTTTCCAGTTCCTTGGACAGCCACTAGCAAGTCTGGCAAGACTGAGCACTCAATAAATACGTAGCCTGTCCCCAAAATGTTGAAAGTATTTGGGAGATCTTTTCTAATCCTTAAAAGGTTTTAGGGTAACCTCTTCAAAGGGGGGAATGTTAGAGGAGCAAAAAGAAGAAAGAATACATGAAGTTGTAAGAAAAAATGTGATGGGGAGATATGGGAGGAGTTGGAGGGAAGGGAGTTGATCAAAACACCTTATATGCTTAAATACTGCTATGAAATTCTCAATAAGTTATTTAAAAGAGTAAATTCGTGGCATCAGAATGAATACATCTGTCTTCCTCTCCACCTGTTCTCCGTTAACAATTTTCCTTTCTTTTCTCAGAGAGGATGATAAAAGTGTCACAATAAAAAGCGTTTTAATGAGCAATGAACTTAACTTCTATACTATCTAGTAACTGTGAGTGAAGAGTGGCAAGGAAACAAATTATTGTGTAAAAGAAAGCTTGTCTAAAAATGTGAAGACACGCTTTAAAATTATCTGCAATGTTATTAAATATGTAGACATCAAACCGGACTAAATTAACAGAGAGAATATATTTGAACCAAAGCCTTTCAGACCTGTGAGTTATGCTCCAGACCGGTTTTGTTAGGTTTCTCGTGGTCTGGGTATTTGTTGCTTGTCCTTTATCATTCCTTTCATTGTACTCAGCGATTCTGCGTGTCATTTTACCCACCTGAAAATAAACTCTGGAAGTAGATTCGAATATTTGTAGTATCATTATTTTGAAAGAGATTCAACCACGTTCTTGTAGATTTGGTTATTTTTCAGTGTTGGCCTCAATATACTCATGTCAACAGATACCACGTCAAGGCCCGCGAATTCTGAGCAAAATGGTGGCGAAGGCTGCAGAACATAATTGTGCCTGCCATAAAACATTATACTTACAAGGGAAATTATAGAACAATAAAATGTGGTTATTCAAACTATGCTGTTTTATGACGCTTTCCCCAGAAATACCACAGATGGTTGGTACCTGTATGCTGATAGCTCAAATGGGAAATTTGGTGACGTAGCTGATATCCTCACTCCTGTTATCTCTCTCACTGGACCGAAGTGTACCTTGGTGTTTTGGACACATATGAACGGTGCCACAGTGGGTTCTCTCCAGGTACTGTACAGTCAACCCCAGTTTTGGAATTTTCTCTATGAAATGTGTACTGCATAACCAAGTATCATTAAATGTATAGTTTCTAACAGGGAAACTTTATTAGTGGCACAATGATAAGGACTAAGATAAAGCTTTATTCAAATTGGACATTGGTAGCTGGTAAGTGATTTCCTTTTTATTTAATGCTTGATTGTTGCCTATTCAGAGGTTTTAGCAAATGTGAGGTCCTATTGTACACTTGAGACCTGCTATATAAATTTCAGCATTCAAGTTCAGAGTGTGATGCAATTCGGTGAGCATGCACACTTTGGAAACCTATGATATGGATTCCTGTTTGGAAAGATGGTAAAATTCCGTTTTCCAGTAGTCCTTTTCAAATGGTTTCTTTAAGAAAAAATGTAGTTGGGGTTGGGGGAATTATGATCAAGGTACACTGAATGAAACTCTGAAAGGATTCATAAAAATTTAAAGACAAACATATTTAAAACAACAAACAAGAAAAGTGAAGTAAATTATTTAGAAAAATATTTCACAAATTTCAGTCACAGCTCATTTCCCTTCAATTAGAAATCTCATTTTTGGTTAATCGTCAAGTAATAGCTCAACAAAAAACCCCAATAAAAAAACACATCTTATCCCCTGTTAGTTTCTTAGTGCTTTTCAAATGAGAATCTCCTTGCCCTTCTCTAAACTTTGACCTTGATAGTTTCAGTTTGCAGCTAAGGCATTTTAAATATTTCCTTCAGGTTGGATTTGTGTGACGTGCTTTTGCTATGCTGTCACTCCAAATCCGGTTGTACTATGATATGCCATTAGTTAATGCTTATCATCCACATTTGTTTTTCCACTTTATAGCAATAAATATGTTTGGAACGATATTTAAGGGTATGCATTATCTTTTCCCCTTTTTCTTTTGAGACACGTTCTCACTATGTAGCACTGACTATCCTCAAGTTTACAAAGATCCACCTGTATCTTCTGGGATTAAAAGCATACACCACCACACCTGGGGATATGTAAAGTTTTGATTTTAATGTTATTTGCTAGTCTTTGCCTCATTAGCATATTTTGCCTAAATTAATTTTACTGATTGTTATTTTCTAACTCCATGTTTGTCTTTTTATAGTTTCCCTTCTGTTTTAAAGAAAATCCTTCTCAAGTTTATTTCTTTAAAAAATATTTTATGTATTATTTAAAAAAATGTTTATGTGTATGAGTGTATTGTCTGCATGTATGTAATTGCACCCGTGTTGTGGAGTACCTGTGGAGGTCAGAAGAGGGCATTGGATCCCTGGAACTGGAGTTATGGACCATTGTAAGCCACTATGTGGGTTCTTGAAATTGAACCAGACACTGTGAGAACAGTCAGTGCTCTTGACCGCTGAGCCATCTCTCCAGCCCCATCAAGTTTCTAATTCTGAATGTAACTGTCTTTAGTTGGTGTTAAATCATGACTTCCTTTGTTATTCAATGTGTTAGGATTTATTACATTATTATTTCTTGGGTCTCTGAATCACCACCATTTTAGTCGTATGTATGGGCCTCCATCTGTTTTACAAGTCTCATCATTTTGTGAGCCTGTTCTTTGTTTTTAGCCAAGATGTTCAAAATGTCTTCTTTCTAGACATATACCTGTGTGGTGATGTGTGTGTGTGTGTGTGTGTGTGTGTGTGTGTGTGTGTACACACATGTGCATGCACTTGGTTATATGTGAGTGTGGAGTCATGCGACTCCATGCTATTCTTGATCATGACTTGTTTCTTTGGAAGACTAAAATGCATGGAAAAAACTGAGAGAGAATTTTAATGTGTACTCACAAGTCCTGTCTGGATATGCTCTGTTGGAAAATAATAT